GCCACCCGGGCAAAATTCAAAATTTCCTACCAACGAAAAAGTATTAGGTGTGTCCCGCGCGCTCATATGACCTTATGCAGTTGCGAGCGCCGTAAAACCCTATACTAAACAAACAAACAAACAAATACACACACAATGAAACCAAACTTCTCCTACAGGTAGGCTAATGCCCACTTTTGGTGTAGGTCAAGATTTCTGGAAACCCCCAAAATCTGGGTCAGCCCGTTTGTCCTTAATAAAAAGCGACCAATTAGGCGTTCCGTTCTCCTCTTAGAACCTTCCAAAAGAACACAAGAGTCACGACCTGTTCGGTTCGATTCCGTTTGCTGGTCGTTCGACTACATCTAGATCTAACAATATCGAAGTATTTTTAAAATATTTTTTTTTGGTTAGTGTTTTACGGCGCTCGCAACTGTGTAAGGTCATATGAGCGTGCGGAACACATTAAACTTTTTCAGTTGGTAGGAAATTTTGAATTTTGCCCGGATGTCGACCAAAGCCTACTCTTATCGATTTTAGACCACCAAGTGATCTTTAACGTGCGCAACTTGCACACGGCCCTCCGAGATTTTTCGCTCTTGTCCGAGAAGGTTAGGTGTAGATCTTTCCTACCAGAAGATCAGGGGTGTGGCTAAAAAGACAGCAGTAAGAAGCAGCCAAGCAGTAGCAGTAGAAAGGCTGCAGAAAGAGTCAGGAGCCCAGAGGAGGGGGCAAAGAAGGTGAGGGAGTGGGGGCAGAAAGTGGAGATGAACGAAAGCAGACGACAGAACATTGCTAGAGAGCAGGAAAGGAGATGAAAGGAAAACATTTAAGAGAAGAAAATTTTTCCGTCGCTACCCGGATTTAAACACGGGACCTTTGAATGAGAGGTGAACACCTTAGCCTTTAGGTCACGAAAGCCCCCCATAACTAAGTATAATGACAGTCGCCTACGATTTCTTCCCTCCCTCCGTACAGTAGTGCTGGGCGGCGAGGTTCCCGGTTATTGGAAGTTTGGAATCGTAGGAATCGACTCCGAACCCAATTACTTACTTTCCAATGATGGGATTTCTTCCTGTGATTACCTGGTAGCTCCGAACATCTTCAGGATTTAGGATAACCTTGATTTCGGAACACAACGAAGCATCAATTTTTATTTTTCCAAAATAAATTCTAAAAATAAAAAAAGAAGATTTTACTGATAAAAGTAACAGGCAAGGGCTTGTTTACGTAAAAAGGAGTCGGAACTTTTCTTTCGTAGCATTAGTCTTGGGAATCGGTTCACGACTAGATTCTTCGCCCAGCTCTACCGTACAGGTCGTGGTTGCAGGACTGCAGTCGTCAAACCTGCTGTAACGCCCACACGTCCGAGACAATCACCTGTACAAACGACCTATTCACACTTCCGCCCTTGTGTGAAAAAAATAATGGCACTGTCTAGTACGTCGACCCGTCTAAGACAACCACTCATGTCCCCGACAATGGGTGGCCGTCTTGGACAATGTCGATAGTATTTCCATGATGATCTGAACACTGAACGAAACTATATACGTTGTCCTTTTGTTTGTTGCTTTGGTGGTTATTTTGTGGTTGTTGTTTTTTACTCTGAACGTCTATATTCTACTAATTAAGTAAGTAAGAGTTTTACGGCACTCGTAATACAAAAAGGTCATATTATACGTCCCGAAGTTTAGAGTAACAAACACAAAAAAGAAAGGAGGATAGATAAGGCCGATATATTATTATGGTTGATGAAGAGAAGAACGGAGCAAACCACACCAGAACACCCGCCAACTACCTACACATATATTACTAATATAAGTACAAGACCGTGGGTCAATATGTGAGGTGAGGATGACCGCACCCGCAGATGCGAATAAAACAAGTCACAAATGTCCATCTTAGCCGTGAGTCTACCAATGTACTCTAGGAACAGAATGATTTATGACGTCAGTAGTAGCATATTAGGCGCTCATATGACCTTATGCAGTTGCGAGCGCCATAAAATCTTTACTAGAACTACTAGGAGTAGCATATTATTATGGCTCTCTCAGACAGAGGTGGGTGAGGAAACACACTCGCTTCAAAACCTTACTTCATAAAGAAAACATATTATTATAGATGGACTCAGATGACACACAGGAAAAGATGAATAATAACAATAGTGATATTCTTTTAAAAATACAACAACAAAATAAAACAAGCAAAACTTTCGTTTTCAATCAGGTGCCAAAGAAAAGCCAGACACGAAGGGCCAAGCCCATCGCTTTAAAAAAAAAAAAGGGGGGGGGGGGGTTTGGACAAAAATTTTAAAATCCATAGAAAAGAAAATGAAAAAAGAAAACGTAACAACCCCCCGACTAAAAACAACTACTCTCAAAACAAAACGAAAAGACCCCCCCCCCCCCCGAAAAAACAACAACAACAAAACAAAACAAAACAAAACAAAACAGACGAACTTACTAGCAGCCCTCCCAAGATTTAAATCTCTAGCAGAAAAACCACTCCAATTTTGAAATAAATAAACAAATAAAACGAGAGCCGCGGACACGAAACGTCTAAGATTGGTGGCAATAAAATTACAGCGCTTAAAAAGGCTTATGGCGGGTGGCTTTCTATCTGTCTGGGCTACGGGCCCAGAGCCAATAGCCAGGAAAACGCAAATATGTCGCATCTGCAACAATGGGATTTTAAACTTTCCATTATTTTTCTTATTATAAACCTGAAACGAACGTATTTTCCTTCATTTCGAATAAGTAAAATCTCTCTTGATGAGCAGGCAAAGCCTCAAACACAATTTTTGAAATCGTCACACGTGCTGCTAGCTTTAAATTCGACCACAATTTTAAAATTAGTTTTTCTCTAAACGATATATTTTTGCAGATACAATATTCTTGCATTATGCCCTCGCAATGTCCGCAGAGACCTGACAATAGAGGGGAAGGGAGGAGGAGGGAGGAGGAGGGCACAGTTCTGGGAGAAATACGGGTGGAAACAGACTTTATGCGTTTTTGTCTAATTTCATTTTGTCTGAGTAAAATGGGTACGTAAAAGAGAGGTAAAAGCAGAATTATAACACACACAGTAAAACGAAATACAAAGCGGAAAAATTCTGCCCAGCAATAACTAAAGGGGGGAGACAGCCAATATAAAAAGGAATCCCCCAAAACCAAGAGTATAATCCTTGGAATTAAAAGAATAAAAGAGAAATTGAGAAAAGTAGGAGTAATAACAACGCAAGTTTTTCTGCCAGAGAGGGAGTGTGTGTGTGTGTGTGTGTGTGTGTGTGTGTGTGTGTGTGTGTGTGTGTGTGTGTGTGTGTGTGTGTGCGCGTGCGTGCAAGCGTGTGCGTGCATGAATGCGTGTATGTGTGTGTGTGTGAGTGTGAGAGAGAGACAGAGAGAGAGAAAGAGAGAGAGAGAGAGAGAGAGAGAGAGAGAGAGAGAGAGAGAGAGAGAGAAGGGAAAGTAAGCCATCAATCAATTCATGACATGTCTGAATGGATAAATTCACTGGGTGAGCCAAGCCGACAAGGTTCTAATTCCACAACCATCAAAATTTGGAAATTAAAACTATAGAGGGATTGTGAGATTTTGGGGAATTAAAGTTGGAAGGGGCTGAGGGAATGGCCATGGGTATTAAACCAGAAGTTTATATAAGTGCTTACTGCCTTTTGAGTGCGAAAAAAAAATTGACCCCACAATGTCATGTGACATGTAGAAACCTTCTGACTGGCTGTTGACAAGAATTTACATTAAGTATAGGCAATCGTGACCAAGAAAATCGAACACGTTTGATATTTCAAGATTTGTTCAAATTGTGCCAAAATATTATCGTTTGCGCATCATGAAGGAACATCTGGCCGCCCTTTTAATAATCTTCTTTTTAAACTTCATTTTTAATATAGGCGTTTTTACGCCTCCATCGAAACAATTTAGATAATGTGTGTCAGGCGGGCTTCGACCTTGCATGTTAGGCCAACCCGGGTTTCTGACGAAAGTCTCTGCAGTCTCCACTGGGCCTTACCTTAACGGAGCTCCGTTAGCTCAGTCGATATCATTCTGGACTATATAGAGCAGCTGGTCTGATTCGAAGCCCAGACTGGGTATTCGTTTGTTTGTTTGTTCGTTTGGTTTTGTTTCTTTTAGTAAGAGTTTTACAGCGCTCACAACTACATAAGGCCATAAGAGCGTGCGAAACGAAAGTCGGATGTATCATGACCGTTCTTAGGACGGCTTCATTTGGTCAACGGTCAGACTAAAATGTCAAAAACTGGGCAGTCTGACGTTTTAAGTAGTGTTCAAGGCTCTCGACTCATTTGTCTCGGTTCTATCGGAGACGGACGTAAAATTCAGAGGTCTTGCCTCTTACAAATAACCTAATGAGTTTTTATAGAACAGGGGCGTTATATATAAACCCTTTCATTAACACATCCCAGCCTACCTTGAGCAGATCTGGCAGCGCCCTCTGTAGGCTGGCCCCGCGGACGGCATGGAACATTTCCTCCACCATGGAAGCACGTGACTTGACGAAGGCGCTGATTGGCTGCAGCTCTTTCTTCAGGTCAAGGTCGGAGTCCTCGTCTTCTGGAAGGGACACTTTCTTGCCGGTCTGAGATGGAACGAAAAAAAGAAAAGAGGTTAATGTAGAAGTTCTACACCTCCATCGACACTACGAGGGGTGCTGAAAAAAATGAGTCGAAATTTCCCCCGATGGTAAAAAATACGTTAAATTTATAGATTTACATTGTACAGTCTTGTTTTAGTAAGTGTCTGACAGCTCTTGCAATGCAATAAGGGCACACAAGTGTCGAAGATTAGAGCTATTACAAGGGAGTTACACAAACAGAACAAAGAAAGAGGAGAGATAGAGACGAATATACGTATACTTGAAAGGAAAGAAGGAGCAGACTCACACGGTTGGGTTCATCCAGTCTATAGATAAGAAATGATACTAGATCTAGATATGTAAAACTAGAAGAAAATGAAATCAGTTGAAAATCTTCAAATTCGACCCAGGTGTCGAATTTCGGCCGATATTTCCATTCGGAGATTGTTAAAAGAAACTCATTTTGTCAGCACCCTTCACAAGTACGTGTAGATCATTTAGAAGGCGGTCTGCTTCGTCCCAGCCTGTCAGGACCAGCCCGGATTGAAAGAGAGGGATGCAACTTTGAAGCAGTAAGTTGGGAGATACTCAACCCAAAAATAAACTTCTCCACATGGGTAACAAACTTCGTGCGACGGCAAAGCACCTAATTGCTGCACCCAAGGACAACACCGAGCCTGATCGAGCCTCGAACCCTCGTACCCGCAAGCTCACGATTATGAGTCCGGTACCCTAACCACCTGACATTTTTGTAGGCATTAATAAATAAATATATGCCAAGAAACAGTCCGCCCGCCCAATAAACTCAAATAATAATAATAATGATGATGATAATAATAATAATAATAATAATAATAATAATAATAATAATAATAATAATATTTATAATTTTAAAAAATCATCATCATCATCATAAATAGTATTAGCATAGCGCCATCCCCGCTCGACAGCAATCTCTATACGCTTTACACTATATTATTATTACCCCAGCAGACCAAAGAACACTCAGAAACATTCTCAGCTTCCCAGGATGCATACAGCGCAAGCAGCTGATTAAGCGCTCAAACACTAACAAATAATAAGATATTTCCCTGCATATAGCTGGGTACCCATTCCGACCTGGGTAAAGTGAGGAAAATTCGCGTAAATGGCCTTTTCCAAGAACACAACATCGGGCCCCTGATAGGATTCAAACCCACGACCTTACGACGGTTGCGAGTCTGAGAGCCTTACCACTAGGCCACCGACCCTGTCCTCTACTCACCTTCTTGAGCTTTTTCTTCCTCTTCTTCCCATCGGCCGTGTCGGCGGGCTCCGCCTGTGTGGAATCTGCCACCATCTTCGCCGCGCTCATGATAGTGACGTCAGCTGTGCTTGCGTTCTACGTCACGGATTCTGTTGAACAACGTCACTGGTCGCAGGCGTGTGTAGGCCTATCACGCAGGGAGTTTCGGGTGACACAGAATTTCACAGATTGTCACTGGTCACAATGTTTTGGGGAGTTTTTTGTTTTTGTTTTTAGTCTCCAGCTATCACAATGTCCAACGTCTCGGCTCCTATACCCTAGGAACCGTCAGCAGGAAAAGAACTGGATCGCAAGTAAAGAGGTCAATGTGTGACCTCGCTTTGCCAGTAGTCTTCACGTGCGCGATCAAGGTCTGGAGTCACCGAGACAGAGGCGCTCACTGTCACAGTAGACAAACGGTGTTGTAACACTCATCCTCCCAGCCCCATCAAAACACAGTTGCTCCTCCTGTCTGCGGGTGCCTGATTAAAAAAAAAGAAATAAGTCTTTGAGCTTCATAAGAAAACAAACAAAACACACAAAAGACCCCCAACTCCCCACCGACAAAAAATCCATCAAAAACAGCCCCCCCCCCCCCCAAAAAAAAAAAAAAAAAACAAACAAAAAAAACCAAAAAAAAAAAATCCAAACAAAAGAAAGACAATCCCCAAAACAAACCAAACAATCAACTCAATACACAGATAGCATACAAAAAAGAAGACACTGTGACTCTTTGTCAATAAAAAGAAAGAATGAAAATTAAACAAATAACAACAAAAACAACAAAAACCAAACAACACCCTCCCCCTAAAAACCAACATATATATGCATATAGTGCCTATATAATGAATGTTTTGCATTCACATAGTGAAAAGTATATCTTACTTTTAGTTTTAGTAAGTTGTTTTTTTTACGGCGCTTGCAACTGCATTAGGTCATAATTATGAGCGCCAAGGGGAGGATGTCAACAAAGAAGTCAAAACGGAGAATCAGGCTTTCTCTGCTCACCTGTCTAGCCTCAACAGCACAAAGTCTGCTTCGACTATCAAGGCACCTCGGAAATAGCAGTTCACAAGAGAGTGACAAACATACAAAAGAAATAGAGGGGGGAAAATGATAGTAAGGCTGAGGAAAGAAAAAGCGGCAGTTCCCCCCTATGTTTCGGCACAGTATGACTAGTATGAGAATGACATTGTCAGCCCATTAAAAATTCTACTGCGCATACGAATATGGGTTTTTTTGTGTGGAGGTTTTACGACACTCGCAACTGCATAAGGTCATATGAGCGCCAGAAAATTAGCAACAAACATCTAAAAGAAGAAGGGGAGATAAAGACGATAGATGTATGATAGGAAAGAAGGAGAAAACCACACCAGAGCAACCGCCAACCACCCACTTGAATATGTTTATATCTCCCCTTTGGGAATGGCCTAATGACGATTCAGTCAGTGGCATTGCCCGGCCGGGGGGGGTGTCTGACTTTGTGTTAAGAGTGGCACATTGACAAATTAGCAGACATTTAGTGCTGGGACAAAAACAGACAGACAGACAGACAGACAGACAGACAGACAGACAGACAGACAGACAGACAGAGAGTGAGAGAGAGAGATAGTACGGGAGGCGAGATTTTATTTTTTTTAAAAGACGAGAGAGGAACATCAAAAAGAAAAAAAAAAGGAGGCGGGGAAGTGTAAGGAGCTGGATGGAGCATCTCAACAGTCCCCCGAAAGTCGATTTTGACGTTCCCAGTACGTCGATTTTGTAAAAAGTCAAACCCTGAAATTAAATAAATCAGTGCGTTAAATCCACACTCCAACTGCTGTGAACAAAATTTTCGATCTGCCTAATACTTTCAACCTTTTGAGAGCGCTACATTTTTCTTTGTCAAGCAAGAGCCGGCAAATATTGGTTTCTATGGCGACGAATGGATTGCTTGTTCCCTGAGTTAAGACCGACGCATTAATTACGGAAAGGCGTGGCCAAGTCTGTGTGAGTAACTACATGGTACAACACAGACCTTTCCGGTGCACAAAGGTCGAAGGGCAGCCTGTAAAGTAAGCTAATAAAAGCGCCATAAAGAAAAAAAATTTGTTCAGGTAAGAGTTTTACGGCACTTGCAACACAATAAGGTCATATAAGTGAAGAAGATTAGAGATGTTACAAGAGAGTAACAAACACATAATAGAAGGAGGGGAGAAAAGGACGATAGATGTTTGATAGGAAAGAAGGAGCATTCGACACCAGAGCACCTGCCAACCACCCACAAAAAATGTTTAGGCCAACACACAAACACACACACTATCACACACACACACATAATCTGAAAGACTGCCTAATAGATCTGGTAAAAGATTAGAAAGAAACAGAGAAGGAAAAGAGCATGAGAAAGAGACAAATAGAGAGCACTACATAGAAAGCGACAAAAACAAGGAGACAGAAAGAGGCAAGGAGAGAAAAAAAGAGAAAAACAGTGATCAAAGCGACAGACATAGAGAAAGAGACGGGAAAGAGGAAAGAAGAAAGAAAGAGAAAGACAGAAACGAAAGACAGAGAAAAAGAGAAAAGCAGAAAGAAAGCGAGAAGACAATGTCAGAGAAAGACACTGATAAAGACAGAGAGAAAGAGAGGGAGAGAAGAGAAGGA